GTTTGGAAAATCTTGGACATTTTCCCACTGTTTCCTCAGAGCACCAGTAAGCATCCTCAGGCCTCGGGATCTCATATTTGAAAGTTAAGGAAAATCGCTCTTGAGCCCTGTGTCGTAAAGGTGATCAATGAAATGTTCAAATCAATCCTCCAGCGCATTCAGCGCCAGCAAAGTGAAGCTAACATGGAAATAATATGCTGTTTCTTCTGAGTGGGCTGTCAGGACTCGGTCTCAAATAGGTGCACAGGGAGTTATTTGGATCGATACTAAATGCCTCACGATGCAATGCAATAACTGCTTTACACTGCACGGCTGTGTCCTGTGTGCTTCTGTGATGGTGTGCATATATTTTAAATATATGCGCCTGGGATTTCAATTTAATCTAAGTGTTTTCGATCACACAAAGTGGGCTAACCGCCTGTCTGATTACCCCCTTCATTCATTTAATCTGGGTTAACAAATCCCGCCATTGATCCTTACAATACATGAAGATAAATGAGGGACTTGAATGGGCCCTTGGGAAAACTGATCAGCCGTCTAGAGAATGGAAAGCTGATAAATAGTTGAGCTTCACAAATGGCTTTTCCTTGAATCCTTTAGCTGTGGGGTATTACACAGTATTATGTCCTAATTATAGCTTCTGGCAACATACAATTCTTTGATGTTAAATGCTCAGTCTTATGGACGGCATTTGTTTCTGCGCACTGCGTTTAAGCCACTATGAGAGTCTACTCGTGAGAGCTTTTACTCTCAGTCTCGCAAACAGATGAAAAAGTTGTGTTTTCATGTTTTCTGCTTTTGCTCATTCTTTGAAACTTCCTCTTCACCTCTGCACAAACACAATGCCTCTTTCAGCTCCTGTTGCGCCAAACTTAATTTCTTTTTTCCTATGAATTGAGCTGCAGCCATCAAAGCCTGAGATAGGAAACACCCAGACTGACAGCAGTGCGATCCACACGACGGTAAGCTCCTAAACCACTGCCTTTAAAGATGAAAGCTAAAACAATGTAGACTTAGGGCTGTAAACAAATCCTTGCCTGCACTGCCTACTGGCCTTATAAACACCAATTTAAAGTTAAATGGGGCTGCAGCTCCCTCCAGTGTAAAGTGATGGACAGCAGTGAAATGATTACCTATTAAAACCTGCCAGCAGTCGCAGCATACGTGGAATACTCAGAGCCGCAGTAAAACAAACCAGCTAGGTGAAAATTCCACAGTAACAATATTTAATGTTTTGGCTCTTTGCTCTTTTTGGCTCCAAAATCGCTTTGTCCTTTTTGAAATCTGCTCATTTCAGCCTTCATTTCACATTGCCCTGCCTGGACTACATCTTCTGTCTGACTGACATGACCCTTGTCTCACATTGGAGGCTTTGGGATTTGGATAAGTGCCGCTGATTGGGAAACAGGAAGGCCCGGCGGGCCCTACAGCAGACTGGAGACTGAGAAAATTATGCTCGATTCAATTTGCTACATTGATTGCATTCA